TCGTAGTGTGACGAGGAACGTTGTATTAGATTGAGTTCAATTTTGTGGAAACTGAGTGTTGTAGATGGAGTCGGAATTGCAAATAGAGTACGAGTGGTGTGAATAGAGCAGGAGTGTTGAAGATAGAGTGTTGTAAATAGAGTCAGAGTTGCAGATAGAGCAAGTGTGTTGTGAAAAAAGTTGAAGTGCTGTAAATACAGTTAGAGTTGCAGATAGAGCAGGAGTGTTGTGGATAGAGTTGGAGTGTTGTAGATAGAGCAGGTGTGTTGTGGATAGTGTCATAGTTGCAGATAGAGCAGATGCGTTGTGTATAGAATTAGAGTGCTGTAAATACAGTTAGAGTTGCAGATAGAGCAGGAGAGTTGTGGATAGAGTTGGAGTGTAGTAGATGGAGTCAGAGTTGCAGATAGAGCAGGTGTGTTGTGGATAGAGTCATAGTTGCAGATAGAGCAGGAGAGTTGTAGATAGAGTCAGAGTTGCAGATAGAGCAGATGTGTTGTGGATAGAGTTAGACTGTTCTAGATAGTGTAAGAGTGTCGCAGCTGAAGTCGTACTGTTGGAGATGTAGAAACTTTATGTCAAAGTAAAATTCATCCTCGTCAATTCTTCCTCCCCAAAGAAGACCCCAGAACTTCTTAAAATCACACTTAATAAATTGCTCACGAATCCTCGGAGAAGCCAGTTAGCTAAATCGAAGCAACCAGTACGATCCACGACGGATTCCTTGGTTGATTAATCCGCAAAGCGTTGGTAACTAGCGGCGCCTCAGTCTCCTGCCAGTTAGCCTACACGTTTCTCTTTTTAATAATGCAGCGGCCTACATATGTGGCCTGCACGTTGCACCGGCCGTAATTACGTGGAAACCGCTGGCCACTAATGCGTGCTGGCACAAACACGTTACGACCACGGGAATCCATGCTTAACGCCCCTCTTCCCGAGCACTACTACCCCCCCATAGTAGCCTTCCAATGATTCCTGGCTTTCGATCCTTTGTTTCGTGCGTCCCCATCTTGATGAATAGCTCTCGCTGCAACTCGACTGCGCCGATAAACCTTTAACGCCATTTGTGGCTTTTCCATCCACCTCCTACTCTTCGACCACTATTTTCCCACCCCCTTTTTTCGCACCGGTTTACCGTACATACGGATTCCTCTATCCAGAGATTGTTATTTTGTTTCACACAGTTGGGAATTGGCGAGAACGGTCGAGCAATTCATTCTTTCAGGAGAGATTTGGTTAAAGTGAGAACTCGAGATTGGAATACTCGAGGGGATTGAATAATTCAGTATTTTCTAGATTGTTCGGAGAGTGTAGAATTGTACTTTCACGGTTCTTCGCATTTTTCATTCCCAGAGTTATGGGATTTCTTAGCGTAAAGCTCGTTCGTAGCAGAGGTTCGCGGATCGACTTTTTTTTCTCCAACTTGAAACATGGGAATACACCCTTGAGCGATTTGGACAGGAACGTTCCTCTAACCGGTGGAAATCCAGGGAGAAGCGAGGGTAGCTAACGGAATTTATTTTGCACATCGGAAATTTTTCACTCGAACAGGGCGGAGAGCGAAAGTCCACAGGGACGAGAGAGTGTCACGCGAATTTTTCCTCCAATATGTTTCCAATTTGGACGTTGGTCCGTGTACCCTGGTGCCATAAAATTTCAGCGAAACAACCAGACGAGGTCCAAGACTCACGATCTATTACACGCTCTTTTCCCAGCTTGATTTTCCGTTCTTCGAGCACAGTTCACCTCTCTCTCTCTCCTTCCTGCAATCGTTCCTTTTGATGTCTCGCTCGAACGAGCTCGGCCAGGGTTGGAAAACGGCGATTGCATCTGTCATCGGGTGTGTGGCGTTCGACGAAACACAGTCGAATTTTTCCACGGTGGTTCGTTTTATTTAGACGAAAGAAACTTCTCCTCGAGCTTTGATCTGACGTTTTCCAATTTACTCACCTTGTTTCCCAATTTCTCCTCCTAACCAAGCATCGTTTCTAATCGCTCCAACCCTTTCCCTTCCACTCTTCGTTTCTCGCATTTCGCTGGACGATTCGCCTCTAGCGTTGAATAAAAGAGAACTGGCGCTAACTTTCGGGTAAGTGGAGTTGGTAATAACTGTATCGTAGCTTTTCGTGAATTTATCGCGTTGTTTAGACGCGCGTATGCAGGGCACACCTGTTTGAGAAATATGAACGAGGTGGGTTGTTTCTTGGGAACGAGGACAGCTGACAGGCATGGACGATACGGTCGATCGTATCCTCGGTGTTTTATATAGTTCTCGAGAATGGTTGGACACCTCGTAAAACCATGTGTACATTCTTCGATACACTCTTCGGATGTGTTTATGTGCGTTTTAGAATTGTTTCTGGCACCCTGGAGAACATCGATCAAGATCCTTCGATTTATCCTCTCCTTTATTTAAACGTGGCTCAGTTCGCCTTTGCCCCTAGGTGCTATCCATCATTTTTCAATCAACCATACGTGTCTCATTCTCCAACACACAGGCACAGTGTGGCAAATTCAACGAATTTCCCCCATTTTAGCTGCGTTAATTTCATAAATTACTGGATCCCGCCCGAATTTCCGAGAGATCATTCGTTTGATCGTATTTACGCTTTATTGGATATCCCCTTAGTTTCACGCTCATATCTGCTCGTCCTTTTCCAATTTCATTTTCATGAACGCGACTCGTCAAAATTGTTTTACGCGTCCCCGTTTCGACGGCCGCGTATAAATCCTCTGGACCGTTCTAAACAATTTAATACTACCTCTAGAGAGATACACTTTTTTCCTTCTTTTAGTGTTCCATTTTTATCTATGCGCCATATGTACGCGTGTATATAGGGTAGTTATTAAAAGTAAAAAGAGAGAGAGAGAGATGAAAGATTTATTCGATTAAACCGGGGTGCATCGGTATGAATTGAAACTGTAAATACCGTCTGGAGGCGTTAAAGTCTCTCGAAACGAATTTTCACGTTCGCAGTGAAACGAGACGTCATGGTCAGACATCGCGTTACCAGAGCCGCGTCAAGTGGACTTGACGTTTGCGGCTCAAGTTTGCGGTATAGCTCGCCTCTACCGAGATAAGACATTAAGCACGGTTAGTTTACACACGATCCTCGGTATATGTATCGATTTTACGAGTATTTTCCTAGAGAGGATCGAATTTAAGCGTCTGCCGAATGGGATCGAGGTAAAATTCGGAAATAATCCAAGATTGAGAGTACCTTTCTTTGGAATAATATTATTTAGCGCGGACGATAGATCTATCATTTACGATAAATAACGTTATTTATTATGAACTATACATCTGTCTTTCACGATAAATGATATTATCCTAACAGAAATTGTTTGCTCCAGAGTATCGAATCGAAGATTAACACAATTTTCTTGGAATAATATTTATCGCGAACGATAGATCAGTTAAAATATATCTTTTTCATCTGTAAGCGAGACGTTTCGAGATACGTTTCGTTTCACCGTAAAATTTTCCCGTCCAAATTCAGTTAGGCGGCGTTTTACGAGGGGAAAATTGATGCGGAAGAAAAAGCCCGCGAGAGGAATAAGGGGGAAATGGTGAAAAACGCGCGGGCCGTGTAATTTCGTGTCGGAGAGTATACGGAGTTGGTCGAAGTGGATTTGCAAAAGTACAAACTCTCGCGGAGGAATATCGTAGGAAAATGGTTGGCCACGTTTCGGGACACGTATAGTACAGCCGCGCCGTTGAAAGTTTTATCGTGGTACGTTCGCGCGACAAGAAGAGGCGCTCGTAATCTTTACTGGATATCGTGAATTTTTCCTGTCGCTTTTTTTCTTCTCCTGTATCTCCTGCTTCCTCCGTCGCTCTTTTTCCTCGTTTCTTTTTATTCGCTCTTGTACGATCCGCGGGGAAAAAATTGAAAGTGTGCCGTTCGATGCATCGTCCGTCATAGCGTTTCTTGCTGAAGTTTGTACATTCTGGGTTTGGTTAAATTTCTTTCTTTCTCACTCCTCCTTTCTCTCCCTCTCCCTCTTCATCTCTCCCTTCTTTCTCTGTCTCTCTCCCTCTTCCTCTCTCCCCCTATTTGTCTCTCCCTCCTTTCCTTTCTCTCTTTTTCTTCAGATGGACTTGAAAATTTTTTTTCTCTCTTCTCCTTTTCTGTCTCTTCCTCTCTCCCCCTTTTCCCACTATTTCTCTGTCTCTCTCTCTCTTTGTCTCTCCCTTTTTTCACTATTTCTCTGTCTCTCCCTCTTCTCTCCCTTTTTTCACTATTTCTCTGTCTCTCCCTCTTCTCTCCCTTTTTTCACTCTTTCTCTTGCTCTCTCTCTTTTTCTTAAGACAGGCGTGAAAGTTTTCTTTCTGTCTCTCCCTCTCTCCCATTTTCTCATTCTTCCTCCGTCTCTACCTCTCCCTCGCTCTCTCCTTTTCTTCAGACAGGCGTGAAAATTTACGATGCAAATTATCGTATAAATCGCGGCGGGCATTCATCGTGAGACTCGCGGCAGTAAAATAACCATGAAATTATGCAAACAGTGTGGTGGCAGAGGTCGCACGGTTGGATTTTTCAATTAAACAGTCTCCGCGACTGTCAAGAACCGCGGACAGAGGAAATATTTGCCTCAGGTGCAACACCGTTTAATTCCACTTGGTACTGTTTTTCATACAACCAACCGAAACGACCGTGAAAAGTCACATCGTGGTGCGATTGACGCGTGCGAAGCAACACGGTATTCGAAGAAAGGGGAAACGGTCCGTCTATGGTCAGACAGCCGACGTATTCCACGTTTATTGTACCAAAAATTGTTTCTCAGCGAAAAAAATTACCGTTCCACTGCGACCAAAGAGATTATACGAGAATAATTGCGCACTATCGCGATAAACATTCGATTCAATATTATGGAATATTCTGCGTCTCGTGTAGCGCGGCATACATTAAACAGATAACACCGAATCGAATGTAAATTTAATCCATATCCACCGACCCAAATGCATACTAACAAAATTCGTAATTGTTTATTTGTTGCAGGTACGGTGACATGGTTCCGAAAACGATCGCGGGAAAAATCGTGGGGGGTGTATGCTCCCTTAGCGGTGTCCTTGTGATCGCTTTACCGGTGCCTGTTATCGTCAGTAATTTCAGTCGAATATATCACCAGAATCAGCGGGCCGACAAGCGAAAGGCTCAGAGGGTGAGTGAATCTTTCATTTTCCTATCTTCCGTGCATTCTTCTTCTCTTCGTCGCTGCGAAATATCGATACGAAGCGAAGCGACGTTCCATTTGCAAAAATTTTACCGTGTGTACCTAAAACCGTCTATCTTCGCGTTTGTTAATCTGTTATCGGTGAGACAGCAGGCTTGGAGGTTGAAATTTAATTCGACCTTAATTCCGTCTCGATCCAGCTGTAATTCAACGGATCGTCGAGTGCCTCGATTCCAGGATAGATCCGATTAACGTTAATTTACCTTCCATGCAAATGGAATCCGTCTCTCGATCTTTTTTTTCCCATCGAATTTCCGGTTCGACAGAGGGAGGATTCGAGAGGAAGTTTTTGGGAGAGATTGTTAGGTTTTTGGAGAAGAAGAAGCGTCTTTCTGTCTCGTGGAGAAGGTTTACGCGAAATGTTTTCGCCCGTTTTCCTCGCGTACACACACGCCGTCGCGCATCCACAAATAGCCGTGTCACTATTCGCGCCCCACGGGCTGTTCACTTTATTCTGGTACACTGGATATCGATATTGTTGGATGTTGTCTTTGGACCCAGTTGCCCGGCCCCAAGGCCACAGCGTGATAAACTTTCAAAGAGACACGCGAGGAGATTCGTCTTGACACCTTTCCACGATTATCCGCGCCGAATTTCGCAAACCCGGAAATATATTTTTATTTTGTATATTTCGATTGAAATACGGTAAAACGGAAGAGTAACTGTAGGAAAAGAGTTGATTAGTCGAGAGTGGCAAATTTCACTCTCTTGAGTTCGACTTTTCTAAGATAATTCGCGCCGAATTTCGCAACTCCGGAAATACATTTTTATTTTGCATATTTCCATTGAAATACGGTAAAACGGAAGAGTAACTGTAGGATAAAAGTTGATTAGACGAGAGTGACAAATTTCACTCTCTTGAGTTTCACTTTTCTAAGATAATTCGCGCCGAATTTCGCAAACCCGGAAATATATTATTATTTTCACATTTGGTCCTTTATCAATTCCACTGAACCACGGTAAAATGCGGCAAAACAGAAGAGTAACAATAGCAAAAAATTTAATTACACGAGAGTGATAAATTTCACTCTCTCGACTCCGATATAGAACTTTAAATTTGATATCCGTAATTGCAATTTCATCGATTCGAAACGAACCGAACCGAAGCGAATTGAACCACGTCGCACTTTTGCTTTGCCCGATTAAACTCACGAAGGATATACCATATGTACATGTACCCGCGACATTACCGTAGAATTCTTTCGGCTACAGCTATGATTAAAAGTCGGAGCGGGGGAAATTTGTGGAATTTTTAAAATAGACGGTAAAATGACGAGCACAGCTCCAGAAATATCCGGACGAGAAATATACGGGTCAACCACCTGGTGGATTCAAGCTGTTCCAGCTCCTTGGAGGCTCGGCCGAGTGATTAATTTCCCCACGGGTCCTTTCATCAAGCCTCGCGTCTTCCTATCCGCAACATTCTCCGTTAATCTCTGGCTGATCTTTAAATATAAATAGAACGACTCTTCGTTACAGAGAAGCTTTCTAACCAAAGAAAAAAAGAAGAAGAATCGATCACATTTTCGAATCGAATCTACCAAAAGATTCTCACGGTACTCGCCTATTTTCCATCGCGAGAATCCTGAGAAATTTCCTTCTCGAGGCATCGATAAGTCGAACGATTTATCCTCCGTCGACGACGCAACGGCCCGACGGCGCACGGTTGCTATGCTCTTAGCCCGTCTTAACGTTCGAAAACATGGACAAATTTTCTCCCAAGAGCTTTCACCGTAATAACGGAAGGTATAATTTCGACGTTACGTAATACGCGATCGAAATTGGGTCTCCGTCGGAAGGTTGGCGGTGTGGTTATCTTAGTGGGTGTCGCCGTTAGCCAGGAATGCGAGCAATCGATGAGAACGAACCACCCGGTGTGGTGTTCACAGGCTGGGAAAATGGGAGTAAACCTGGAGAGTATTTGGACGTTGCTGTGAGACAAATCGATCGGGACGATTCGTCTGTGTTAAATCAGAACAATTTTCGAATTTCCCCGGGAAACTTTCATTTCGTCTGGAAAAAAAGGGAACCGTGGATTTTCAATAAAATTCGACAACCTGTTCCGGCTACGTCCAATTTCTCTACCAGACGTCTCTTGGACCTTTTCCCTCCTATCGCCAATCCTCCATTTAGCAAATCGAATAGAAATGGTCGTTGCATCGTCGGTGAAACGATTTTTTTTTCACCTGTTTACCGTTAATCCTTTATAGACGTTTTGAAAATTTGTTTGGGCTGTATGTTGCACCCTTGCGGCACACTTGCACCTTAATTCAACATTTAACCCTTTCGCTGCGGCAGATTATCGGCGGAATCTTTCGTTTTGTCGTTGCATTGTTAAATTGAAGCGGGAGTACTCGAGGGATTGAATTTCGAGCAAAATTTAAGGATCGAATTAGGAGGAAAGTGTAGCATCAACACAGTGCGAGAAAATTATCAAAGCGCCGACAGCAGTGGAAGGGTTAATCCGTCTTAATTTTAAAACGATACGGCCAGAATAACAAATTTTGCACCGGTGGTTAAAAATTTCCAGTCTGACACACGTCACGCGTTAAAATTCGTTACTGCTTTGGACTTTTTCTCACGCAATTTTCACGCGTTGAGAAGTACCGTTGTCGAATTATCGCAGAATGACGGCCTATGTGTAATTCGCATACGTACACTAATCTATTTTAGTCCATTTTAACGAAGAATAACAACGAAAAAGTAGGAGAAAGAAGAAAAGAAACGTGTATATATAGAGATTTACAGACAGGTTGTTCCGTCACGATCTATAAAAAGCTCGCGTCAACGAGGAACCCGGCTACTATCGAAATTACATTCCTACGAAGCCGCGGCGGGCTATTTTTAATCGACCGTCGACGTTTTATTAGCACCGACATCAAAGAACTTTGCTCGAGAGGAGGCGTTCCGCTATCGCGGATGCTAATGACGGCCACGATTGCCGTTACTTTCCCGGGACCATAGAAATGGCCTTTAATCGTCGTAATCACGACCAGTGGATCATTCCTGTTACTCTCGTCGAACCTCGATCGATTCGATCGAGTACCCATTAAAGCCAAGAATACATTTTCCTTCCTACCAACTTTCTCTCTCTCTTCTCTATCTGTGCCTCCAATCCCTATTTCAGTTACCTGCAATTGTTCTCGTTAAGGTTGAAGAGACCATCGAGCGTCTTGACACAAAAATCTCGTTTCACTGTATCGTACATTCTCAGTCTAGGGTAAATTGCTCTTGAAAATGTTAAACGATTTCCTCGATGGCCTACCATTATTTCCCTTTCGTAACTCGATGTCACGATCAATCAGCGAGGATCAAACGGAGGAGTGTACTCGAGTTACCAGAAGTTTCTTAACTCGAGGATTCGCTTGGTAATTGTCAGTCTCTCCCTGTCTCTCCCTCTCTCTGTCGTGTTACCCGAGTTTACGACGTCGAAGGGTGGGTTAGCTTGAAGAGTAAAACAAAGTGTCCTGCTTTTTAAACCGCGATAAACGACGATGGAACGTATCGTATACATAGTAATATGACAGGTGAAACGGCGAAATTTTTGGCCGACCGTTTCGAAACGATGTGACGATCGCGCAAAACAGGTCGGTTCCGTTCGTGTTGGTTCCGACGACGAGAAATCTCACGGTGGCCCCTCGCCGCCGAGAGAGAGAAGATCAGGCCTCTAACAGGAGTTTGGCTTGGCGTATGGCCAGCGGCTACCCTCGGTTCATTACCACTATCCCGTTGCTCCGCGAGAGACTGAGGCAGCTGGCCGAATAGAGTCCGCGCCGCTGATTGATGGCGATTGTTGCGCTAGAACCTGCATCCTCAGCGAACTTTTCCCATTTTTTTAACCATCTGCAATTCAACGTACTTTGTTTCGCGTTGCTTAGGTGAAACGGGGGTGGATGTTCGAGTCGTTTGTTTTTTATTCAAGTAATTTTATCGTTGTAGAAATTCTTTGAAGTTTCAGAAATTTCTTTTTGATTATGTGATGTCGATGGGGTTGGAAGGTTCAAGGTTAGTCTAGAGGTCATTTTGTATTAATTTGAAAAAATTTCCGGTATTGTCGTTACGCGAAAATCATTGCGAATTTGAAAAAAAGGCTTCTTTTAACTCTGCAACGTCGAAGGGGTTGAAAGGTCATTTTGTTTTTGTGTAAAAGAAAGTAGCGAAAATGATATTTTTTCTGCTTAGAATATAGAAAAAATTGTAGCTATCAATTTAGAAAAATTTGTGGTATTGTCGTTACGCGAAAATCATTGCGTATTTGAAAAGAATACTTCTTTTAACTCTGCGACGTCGAAGGGGTTGAAAGGTCATTTTGTTTTTGTGTAAAAGAAAGTAGCGAAAATGCTATTTTTTCTGCTTAGAATATAGAAAAAATTGTAGCTATCAATTTAGAAAAATTTGTGGTATTGTCGTTACGCGAAAATCATTGCGTATTTGAAAAGAATACTTCTTTTAACTCTGCGACGTCGAAGGGGTTGAAAGGTCATTTTGTTTTTATAGAATCGAAAGCAGAGAAAATTATTGCAAATTTGAAAAAGAATTCTCTTCAACCTTTTAGCCACGGCAGGACTTTCCGCGGAGCAGTATCTCTGTACGGTAATGTTCGACGCGGACTGCGCGTAAAGAACATAGCACTGCGATTTGTGTCTGTTTAGTGCCGTCTCTTCTTATACGTAATGATTAATAATACAATTGTGTATGATATACTTTGAAACACAGACGGAATGAGCCACTTTAGTGGCATACCGTTTAAAAAGATGACATTCGCGAAAGCCACTATAGTGGCGTACAGTAGCTAAAAAGTGAACTCTGCGATGTCGAAGGGGTTGAAAGGTCATTTTGTTTCCGTATAAAAGAAAGTAGAGAAAATGCTATTTTTTCTGCTTAGGATATAGAAAAGATTGTAGCTATTAATCTAAAATCCTTGCAAA